AATTGTTGGTCCAGGAGAAACTGATATATGCAAGGTTTGGGGTCCTGTTCACCTCCCCTTTCATCATTTTCCTGACATCCGAGGTCGAAGCTACTTATACTGCTGATTTGGACAAAACTCATCAGATGAATTAATCCTTGTAATAATATTAGTGGTTTCAAAGTAAGTTACCCTCTTTTATGCATATAGTTGACATTTGATCTGAAGCAATAATGCCCACAGGAATCTCCTAGTTTTTAAATTTAAGTATAGCATATGATTTCTTCATGAAATAGGATTAAGAATACTGAAAAAATTAAGAAACCTTATGCCAGATCTTTAAAGAACTGTTATATGAAGTTAATTTTGCACTTCTAGCTTAATTTAGTCCCATGGGCTGAACTTTGTGAGCCTTTATGTAAATATCTGTTTACAAACCTTGGGGAATCCCTAATAAGAAAGTGTTTTCTAGAAGGAAGCTTTGAATTGATGTAGGCTTTCCTTGGTAGTAGCATTTGAGTACTTGGATTTCATTCTAAATTTGTGAATTTAGCACTTAAAATTTTTTTCTTCTGATTATTATTATTACTATTATTATTATTACTTGTCTTGAGATTTTGCCTTGCTTTTGTCTCTGAAACCAAGTCACCAACTTTGTTAAAGTGAATATATTCTGAATTCAACCCAAATATATATTTACCGAAGTTATTTCTGTATTAGTGCAGTCAAGATATTTTATGGTTTTGGAAGGATATTTTCTATTCAGGGATGTTATTTGCACTGCAGAAGTTATCATCAAACCACAATATCTGTACAAAAAAAGAGGTTACTTTAGTAACTTTCAAAATGTTACTTGTCAGTAAAAGAGATACTTGTTAAGGTTCGAAAAATACTAAGGATCGTTGCAGGTGTTAGGCTTAACATAGTGTGGAAACCTATATTTTTTATTTTAAGGAGTAGTTTGGGAAGTTTTCCCTTGGGATCTGTGGTATTAAAAATTATAAGGGAAATTGTTTTACTTATATTCCCTTATAACCACAAACTTTTTCTAGAAATGTGTCATGTTAACTTTCTATTGAAATTTGCTCTTTTTTGGATAAAATTGGGTTTAACATAAATGGTCACTTTTTAATGAGACTTTCCTTCACGACCTTTTGGTGTAAAAATTTCTGTTAAAGTATATTCTTTTATAAAAACTCCCTTTTTCCAGAAACGTTCTTTATGAACATGATGTTGATGTTTACTATTTTAGGATAAGGTTTTGCTAATTCAGATGAACTTGACAAGTGTTTACTTAATGCTGAAGGTGCGAAGTCTGGTGCTGAGCTGGTCTGGGATACATAGCGAGAAGGATGTGGCTCTAGTGCCCAAGGACGTCTGCTGCCCAAACTGGGGTGTCATAGTTATCCAGGACTTCAGTGCTGTAGAGCTGGTGAAAAACACAGAGAAGGAGCATCAGGAGAAATAATTATAGAAGTACTATTGAAAACTTAGTTTCTTTTAGGAAGGAAGATATAAATGAGTATGAATATAGTTTAGTTGGCTTAGAATATTACTAATGCTTTTATGTATAGTTACATATAATTTATATGGATTTTTCTACAGTTTTTTTCAAATGAGAGACTTTTGTAAATTTAGGCAATCATTCTCTTTAAGCTAAGTTTCTAAAGGATGGTGTTGGCTACAATAAACTTAGCCCATTTTATTCAGAGTTTATCAAGGTTGACACGTTTTTTTTAATTGTTTTTTGTTTTCACTGACGTGTTTCTCATGTTTGCCTTTTTACTTAATAATTTTTTCTTGATTTCAAGCTAGTGATTACTTATAATTTATTTGTATCAAATTCACATATCCAACTCTAAGTTCTTACTTATTCCAATAGTTTAGAACAGTGCTGTCCAATAGAACTTCTGCAGAGATGGAAATCTAGCTGTTGAGCACTTCAGATGTGGGCAGGACAGCTGAGGAATTGAATTTAAAGTTTATGGTTAATTTTAATTAATTTAACTTTAAATTGAAATAGCTCCATGTGGCTGGTAGCTACTACGTTAGACAGTGCAGGTATAGACGACGTAGAATAAGTGTCTATAGCAGTAGCAGGGGTAGGGATAGTTAAAATGTACACAGTGCCTGTGCAGGGGCAGGTGTGGCTTGAACAGCCTGCCCATACTTAGCCTTCACAATAACCCTGTGAGGTTTGTGCTATTACCTCCATTTTAGTGGAGAACAAACTGAAGCTCAGAAAATTACATGAGCTACAAGGTCATATACATAGTAAGTGACAGAGCTGGGATTTATATCCAGAAATATGGCTCCAAATTTGTGGTTTACACGGTAGGCAGCCCTTGCTGTGTGTGGTTTTGATATGTTCAGATATCAGTTCCCACAGTTCAGTTAAACAGCACACGTCCGTCACCAACACAGTTCAGATTTCAGTCACTGCAGTATATTCCCTGTAACTGCATGAACTACCAGCTTCCCCACTAGTTCTTCAGGTCACTACGTAAATGGCAGACCTGCGGGATGAGCAGTGACCGGCCACGTCACTGCCTTCGAAGTCTGTTGGTGACTGGTTGCTGCACGTCTGCTCTCAGTTCACCAACAGAGGGAGCAAAGCATGTGGTTGTGCCGCCTGCTTGTCTCCCAGCTGTAAACGCATGTGACGTTTGACAGAAATGGAAACTCAGAAGAGCGATTGGCCCATGGAGATGAAAGATGCATCAAAAAGCAAGAAGTGGTTACGTTCTCAGTGGAACTCAAATGAGGAGCGTGTTGTGAAGAGAAGCACGAGGGTCCCCCAAGGAAGTGTGCCTGAAGGAGCCCTCAGAGACAGTCACGACCCTGAAAGTGCAGACGGTCGGATGCTGCAGGTCGAGTCACTTAGAAAGGAGTATGATGGTTTGTCAAAGCACAGAAAAGACGCTTGATACATATTGTAAATATGACCAAACCAAAGACAAGCACTCTCGATAAGGTTTTCTACAAAGGAATAAAGCACTTTAGTTTTCAGTGCTTCTACTGTTTTAAATTGTAGTGTGCTAAATAAATATATAACTTACAGTAAGCGAGTTTTTAATGTCTCAGGAAAATATTATAGAAGT